GATGGCCGACTGCCGGGCCCTGACAGTTGGAGAGGGGTTGGATTTCGGCCGGCACGCAAGGAGGAATAGGAGGACGAAGACCAAGATTTCCTACGATACGAACATTCGTATCCGGGACCGTTTTTGATTTCGGGCCCGTGACCATCTAAAGCGATTCCAGGGCGAACACTACCTCTGTAGAAGGGGTCGGGACCTCTGAGGCTGCGGATTGCCAACAAAAACAACAGCGCGGAGGATGTCTGGGGAGGCGGTGGAGCAGTTTCTATTCTGCACGCTACGCGTACCTCTATCCGTCTGCCCGCCGCCTGCCTCTTCGCTTGTGTCCGCGACCGAAACAAGTACCTCCATCCGTTGTGGCATAGCCTGCCCCTGCTCGCCCGGCGATCGACTCGTTTCGCGCGCCCGCGTACCAAACATGTATCTCCATCCGCCCATTCAGAAACATTGCCTACGAGAGCTGACTGGAAGACTGACGAATAGACACATATAGTGCAACAGTGCAGGCAACCACGGTGAACAGAGATGGATCTCTGGAGCAAGGGGGTGGCCTTGGAGAGCCTCTTCGGGCCACCCCTGGGGCCCGCGCAGGGGCGAGCGAAGGAGGGGCGAGGGAAGGAGGAGGAAGAGGGTGAAGAGGAGGAGGAGGAGGAGGAGGCCGAGGAGGAGCAGCAGCAGGAAGATGACGATGACGACGACGTTGACGACGACCACGACATCGACGACGACGACCACGACGACGAGGAAGATTTGAAACCGGAAGGAAGACGATGAGGGCAAGGACGAGGACTTGTAAGAGGAGGAGGAGGAGGACAACGAGGACGAGGGCAGAGCCCTGAACATCGCCGCGTGGAGCCCTTCTGGGGATTTTTGGGGGGCTTTTGGATTCCTCTTGGGGCTCTTTTGTGGGGTATTGGGGCTCGCTTGGGGCACCTTTGGACTCTCTTGGGGCCTCGTTGGAGCCCTGGCTGGCCTCTTGGGCCATCGTGGAGGGCGTCGGTGAAAAGAGATGGGTCCTAACGTTTGGTGCCCCTGGGGGGCCCTCGAGATCGACCCGTTGGGGCCCTCTTGGGGCGCTTTTGGGGCGAGCTTGGGCGCTCTTGGGGCCATCTTGGGGCCCCTTGGTCCCATCTTGGGGCTCTCGTGGGCCATCTTGAGGCCTCGAAAGCGCATCGGACGCGAACCAGCGAGACTGCCAATCTCATGCATGTCCAGTACGTTGTTGTCGGATGTTTGTCTCTTGAGGGGGGGGGAAGGGGTTCCGAGAGCCTTCGGAGCCGTCTTGCGGCCCTCGTCGGGCCTTTTGGAGGCATGTCGGAAGTTATCTTGCACCAGATTCGGTTATCTTGAGCCGTCTTGGAGGCCATCTTGGAGCATAGGATGCCTTCTTGGAACCGTCTTGAGCGAATTCCCCTTAGCACATCGCGGACCCCCCAAATACCTCAGGGAGTGGAGGGGGGGGCATCCCTTCCCGAAGAGAAGCAGGCTTTTAAGAACGAACTCGTCAGACCATCTTCGCCCACAGGGCTGGTGGTATTGTGGGCCCGTTGCTCGCCAGGATGTTGCTTCCTGTGCCCCAGTGCCTGGCGTGGCCAGGAATGCCCTGGGATGGTTCCTGCTGTAAGGTCGGTTGGCGGCAGTTGCGTGCGCACTAGTTGTTGTCATTGCTGTCATTGGTGTTGTTGTTGTTTTGTTGTTGTTATTATGGTTGCTGTTGTTGTTGTTGTTGTTGTTGCTGTGTTTGTTGTTGTTGTTGTTGTTGGTGTTGGTGTTGTTGTTGTTGGTGTTGTTGTTGTTGTTGTTGTTGTTGTTGTTGTTGTTGTTGTTGTTATTTGTTGTTGTTGTTGTTGGTGTTGGTGTTGGTGTTGTTGTTGTTGTTGTTGTTGTTAATGCTGTTGTTGTTGGTGGTGTCATTGCTGTTGTTGTTGTTGGGGTGTTGTGTTTGTTGGTGTTGTACTTGTTATTGTTTTTGTGAGTGATGTTGTTGTTGTCGAGGCTGTTGAGTTTGCCATTGTTGGTGTTGCTGTTGTTGCTGCTGTTGTTATTGCTGTTGTTGTTGGCCAGGAAGCACTGTACTGGGAAGGAAACGCAACAGGCCAAACTCGGGATGAAAAACAATCACCTCGACAGAAGCAGCGTGGTGATGCAGCGCGGACCAAATAAGTTTACACAGGCGGGGGCGCAGCCCGACAATGACGTGCCGCTTCTTGCCATGCTTGAATGATCAACACTGCGCGGTCAGCGCTCCGCGTTGCTGCAGCGCCTCGGGCAATAACAGCTCCTGCTACTAGTGTAATCAGCGGTCAAGTCCTAGCTCGCCCGCCAGCCGCTCCGCGTCTTCCCTGCACCTCTATGTGCAAGCAACAAGCTCGCGCAGGCCACCACTTCGAACATGCCCGCAGTTTCACACTTCCCCCCCCCCAGGGATGGCGAGGTCTCTTTTTTGAGATGTTCGCAGGGCCCCACTGTGCTCGCCCCTACAGCGGCCCTCGAAAGTGGCGACGGTTTCGCACTTCGCAGCCCTCCAGGGATGGCGAGGTCCTGTTTGGGTCTGTTTGGGTCTGCGTGTGGCCCCACTCATGCTGGCCCCCCCCGACACCCCCCCTACAGTGGCGACACATTCATTGTTCGCAGCCCCCTCCCAGGGATGGTGAGGTCCCGTTTAGGTTTGCGTGAGACCACAGTGTGTTGCCCCCCCCCCCCCCAGCAGCCTTCGCACGTGGCGACATGTTCTCATTTCGCAGCCCCCCCCCCCACCCCCTCCCAGGGATGGCGAGGTACTGGCTGGCCCCGTCAGCAGCCCTCGAACGTGGCCACAGTTTCACAGATCGCAGCCCCCCTCCCCCCTCCAGGGATGGCGATGTCCCGTTCGGGTCTGTATGGGGCCCCGCTGTGCGCCAGCAGCCCCCGAGAGTGGTCACGCACTCGCACTTCGCACCCTCTCCCCCCTTGGATGGCGAGATCCCGTTTGGGGTTAGGTTTGGCACCGCTGCGCTGGCCCGCCCAGCAACACCCGACGTTTTCACAAATCGCAGCCCCCCAGGGATGGCGATGTTCCGCTTGGGTTTGTGTGGGACCCCATTGTGTTGCACCCCCAGCAGTATTCGACATTGGCAGCAGCTGCGCTCTTCGTAGCTCCAAGAGGGATGCGAGGGGAGAGTCGAGAGGAAAGCGTGTGGGAGCGGGAGGAGAAGGAAACGGGAATCGGCATCCGACTGTCAAAACGAGAACCCAGCCAAGGGAGGGTTTGAACGTTATCCTGCGACTTACCCAGCCCATCGGCACCAAGGCATGATATAAGGTGTGCCGACACTCGCGCGACAGCAACATTGCAAGATAAGGTGCGCTGCGGACGTCTATACCGCGCGGAGTGAGCAGGGACGACTCGCAGAATTGAGGTACAACAAGGCCAGGACGCATTGGTTTGGGAAAGGCTGAACACAAGGAATGCATCGGGGTGTACAAATAATCACCTCGGCAGAAACAGCGTGATGATCGAGCATGGGCAAGATCGGTTTACGTAGATGGGAACGCAGCCAGGCAATGAGGTGCCGCGTTGTTCCATGCGCGCATGATCAACATCTGCGAGTCTGGCGCTCCGCTTTGCTGCAACGCCTCGGAACATGAACAGCTCCCGTTGCTAGTGTAATGAGCGGTCAAGGCTTAGCTACGCCCGCCAGCCAAACGCGCGCAGGCGCGCCGCCAGCCCTCGACAATGGCGGCAGTCTCTCGCAGCCCCCAGGGATGGCGAGGGTCCGTTTGGATTTGCGTGGGGCACCATGGTGTTGCCACGCCCAACAGCCTTCGAAAGTGGCGACGATTTTCACACTTCGCAGTCCCCTCCTCGGGATGGCGAGGTCCCGTTCGGGTCTGCGTGTGGCCCCGCTGCGGTGCCCCCTCAGCAGCCCTCCGAAGTGGCGACAGTTCCACATTTCGCAGCGCCCCAGGGATTGCGAGGTAGCAGTTGGGTTTCCGTGTGGCCCCACTGTGTGGGTTCCCCCAACAGCCTTCGAACGTGGCCACAGTTTCTCATTACGCGCCCTCCCAAGGATGACGAGGTCCCGTTTGGATCTGCGTGTGGCCCCACAGAGCTGCCTTCCCCAGCAACCCTCGAATGTGGCACACTTCGCAGCCCCCCAAGCGCGGCGAGGTCTAGTTTTGGTTTGCGCTTGGCCCCACTGTGCTGGCTCCCCCACCAGACTTCGAAAATGGCGGCCGTTAGTTTCAATATTCGCAGCCCCCCAAGGATGGCGAGATCCCGTTCGGGTCTGCGTGTGGCCCCACCACGCTTCCCCCCCCAGCATCCCCCGACAGTGGCGACAGTTTCACACTTCACAGCCCCGCAGGGATGGCGAGGTTCCTTTTGGATTTGCGTGTGGCCCCACAGTGCGGACTCCCCAAGCAGCCTTCGAAAGTGGTGACAGTTTCAATATTCGCAGTCCCCCAGGGATGGCGAGCTCCCGTTTGGGTCTGCGTGTGGCCCCACGATGCTGGCCCTCCCAGCAGCCTTCGAAAGTGGCGCCGCTTTCGCACTTCGCAGCCCCCCCCCCAGGGATGGCGAGGTCGCGCTTGGATCTGCAAGGGACCCCGCTGTGCTGCCCCCCCAGCAGCCTCAAAAGTGGCGACAGTTTTACACTTCGCAGCCCTCCAGGGATGGGTTCCGTTTGGATCTGCGTGGGGCTCCACTCTACCGGACCCCCCCCAGCAACCCTTGGAAAGTGGCGACAGTTTGATTTTTCGCAGCCTCCTAGGGGTGCAGGCAAGCGCAGGCAGGCGAGAGGGGGACAGAGGGCGGGAAGAGAAGGAAAAGAGAGTCGACACCCCACTGCTCTAACAAAACGAGATCTCAACCAATGGATGGTTGGACAAATCACATATGAAGCCTGCACCTCCCTCCAATCCGAACTGGTTGACACTTCGCGAATCCCCACAAGCCCATCTAGAAATGGTGCCCAGAGGAGTTGCCTCGGTCAGGGAAGCAGGCAGCACATAGAGGAAGGGTC